ATAACTTAAACATTTTTACTCTCTGCTGAAAAAACTGCAATTATTATAATATTTCAGTTTTTTTAAAATCATTTATGTGGACTTTTTTCAATTGAATATAAAAATATGTTAAATGGTTTTGTACCAAATCTGTGTTGCTCGAATAACGCCCGTCAATTTTTTAATAATATTTGTTTATTTATTTACTACACCATTCAAGAGATGAACTAATTACATAATAGGTACTACATAATTAAAAATATAGTAATAATATTTAAAAAAAAAACACATTAAGTACTTACAATAAAAAACTAAAAGTAACAGAAAAATAGTGAAACAAAATTATAAAATAATAAGAATGTTGATCATTAATATGTTACCAGTATTTTAAATACCGTACTTATTTCAAACACTGAATATTACGAATAACCTTGAGTAAGAATCCTTCATGGTATTTCCTTAAAAAAATATATTAATCTTTACATATTTGCGTTAAAACATGGCCGTAGTTGGTCACGGCTTTAATATTAAAGTTCTTTCATGAAGTCTAAACAAGAAGGTAAGATAAGTGCGAAATATTTTAGAGGGTCGTTGCCAAAGTTATTTTGTGAAAAAAAGTTTATATAACCATATGTAGAAATATGCTTCGTTTCGGAGATACAGTGTTTAATTTTAATTTTTTATTTATTTTTATTAGTATTCTTTTATTAATTTTAATTTTTTATTTATTCAGAGTTCTAAAGATTTTGATACGAAATTTGAAAAACGCTTTGGAGGGAAAAATGTACATTTTTTGGTGTAATGCGAATATTTCTATTTGCACCAGTGGCGTTCGTGCGAAAATGCCACAACCTTTTTTAATAAAAAAAATATGGTACGCCACTGACTTTTTTCCGTTTTGATATTTTTTTAGAAATTCGACATCAATTATGAATGAAATTGGTCTCTTCAATTTTTTTCGTAGGATGTACCGTTTTTGAGAAAAAAATGAAACATATTTTATTGCAATTGTAAATTTTTAATTTCTATTGATACATGATTAACTTCGAGTCAATATCTTTAAAATTCTTTGAAATAATTAATAAAAATAAATAAAAAATTAAAATTTAAACACTGTATCTTGGAAACGAAGCATATTTTGACCCACGTTTATATGAACTCAATAACTTCAACAACTACCTCCTAAAATATTTTGCGCTTATATACAAAAACCCTGTATGTGTATCAAAAGTTACAACAAACGGAATGTTTTTGAAAAAAAAAGTCAGTAGGTAAAAATACATTAAGGGATATACTTTAAGGTATGAATTTGAAATCATGTTTTAGGTTTTTTACTAAAATATATCATATATCGCACTGATGACAAAATTTTAATTTTGAGAATGGGTCATGTTGCTCTATGAGCTAATTTGTACTTTTTAAAACTGTCTAGGTTTACTACTCTAGCTTCTTTATAAAATAATGTTTTGTTCAAGAACAGACTAACATCGCTCAAGATCTTTCAGTAATTATCCTTAATCTTTCTCCTTCATCAAAATGGATCTCTATGTCCATAAATAATACTAGTGCTGTCTATATTTAGCTCAAAATACTTATTTAAAAGATACATTTATCGATGAATCATTTCTAATGTGACACAGAGCGTAATTCTAGGTAAACAATCTCATAAAAAAACTATATAGGAAATGGAAACCGAATCATGAACTGAAAAACTAGCATCTCCGTATTTGTACACACACAAAAAAAATTGTATCTCAACCTCGCTCTTTACACGACCTCACCTAACACTGACAACTACTTAATATAGTAATACGAATAAGCCAATCAAGGTCACAGGCTAACTACACAATACGCCCAAATCTACAATGCCGTTTTGTTTACACAGTACACTTGGATGGGCAGGAAACAATTAAATACCATGTAAACAAAACATTCTCTAGGTGATTTTCCTTACCTTCTCTCTTCCTGAATCTCCCTGGGTCTCCTGGAGGTCCGAGCCGGTTTCACCCCATCGTACTTGTTCTCCCTCCCGTAGATGCTGCCCGCGAAAGGGTCTTCCCCAAGGTAGTAGCGTTGGACCGGCGGGTGGCGGTCCATGTTGTGGCCGATGTTGTTGTCTATCACGTGTCCCTGCTGGTAAGATGGGCTGGGAGATCGCTTGGCGCGCTGTCTAGCCTTCCTCTCAGCACTAGCCGAACGAATCTTTCCAACTAGCTTGCGGATGGATTGGCCTGCGGAGAGAAATTAATGAATAAATATAAGGTGACGTTGCGTCGCGATACGGTGATGTGTTTGTTAACAAGTCGTTGGAATGTCACATTAGATTCTTGTGGTAGGCACAAAGCGATTTTTTAACTATGAGCTTATTGTTTCGAATTTTCTTCAAAGTCAAAAGTTATCAAAAACGGAAATAAACTAGTCACAAAAATTAAAGTATAAAAAATCCTACATTTTTAAGTGATTCAATAAAAATCTTCAATGTTCAGACGATAGACTTTTAATTCGATTCAATTTATCCACCGTTTAGAATAAATTATCCTGCCGTGTCGTACCGTGTGAACGGGGGTTCTGAAATAACAATGAAAAACACATATTGGAGAAAAAAATCTGAAAATTATTCACGCCAAGGTCGTTCAAAGGTTAGTATGTCTAGGAAGTATACTAGTCCAATCTAATTAGATCATAAAACCTGAAAATGTAAAAAAGGTATTAGTAATCATTTTAGTGCACTTTATGACGGTGATGTAGAATGATAATATGAAAAAATTAACTCGAAAAAAGTGACGCTAAGTTGGCAAATTGCAAGTAGGTAAGTGGCAATATTCCGTGTTCATTTCAAAATTAGTTATTTTATGTTGTAGGCAACTAAATTACCTACAATTTAAAGTCACATTTCACCAGTTTGTTAACGGTAAAATAATGATCGAACGCAGAAAAATCAGTTTTCGAAAATTGCCCATTACTGTCAAGAAAAAAAATGTCAAAAAGTTGAAATTAAGTTGCTCTTACAACTAACAAAGTAAGATGTGAAAAAAGTGTTAAAAATAAATTGTCCCAGGGTCAGACAAAATCCGCTCGGGAATTTGCTCTTTTTGCGTAAATAAAGCTTAGATGTTAAATAAATAAATGAAATATTAGATAAAAAATTTTACGCGCAGCCGAGAGCAGTGCTCACGCGCATGCGCACACCCTGTGGCCCTTCTTGCGCGCCCAGGCCGTTCATTAATGTTAACTTTTACTGCTTCTAGTGCGGTTATCACATAAATTATTATCAATGCAAAACTTTTTGAAATTTTAACACTTTCTTTAATTGTCCCTAAAATCCCGGTCCGATACGTCCAATAGGGATCTTGGGAAGGTGATTTTTTTGTTAGTTACCGTAAAAATAAGCTTTATTTAATATAAAAGAGCGAATTCCCGAGAGGCTTTTGCCTGACCCTGAGACAATTTATTTATAACGCTGTTTTGCACATCGTATTTTGTTAATTGTAAAGAGCAACTTTTTGAAATTTTTCTTTTTCGATACGTTTCTTTGAATTAGAACTTAACTATATATATATATGATATTAATTTCTGAAATCAACGTTTAGTAATTAAACAATTAGTTGCGAAAAACGAACGAAATTAATTAACAAATACCTTTTCCATATATTTCATCAGCGTCCATCGCTTTTTGAAATAATAATGGGCAATTTTCGAAAACTGATTTATCCGCGTTCGACCTTTATTTTACTGTTAACAAATGAGTGAAATATGACTTTAAGTACCTTAAATTGTAGGTAATTTAATGGCTTAGAACATAAAATAACTAATACTCCGATAGGTTGTCTAAATTTTCGTGGGCAATAAAAAAAGTGAAAAAACAGGTTATTTCAACACTTATTTGCAATTTGCCAACTTAACGTCACTTATTTCGAGTTAGTTTTTTTGGTATTATCATTCTACATACCCTTTACCGTCATAAAATGCAGTAAAATGTCCACTAATAATTTTTTTACGTTGAAAATATTCACTGGAGTAGACTAGGACTTGTATTTGTTGTTAAAACCAGGTGTGGAATATTACTGGTTATAATAATATTTACTCCAATGTCGTTTTGCCCAAAGGTCAGTGTACACATTTAGCATTTACATTGTTGTGATATTAGGTAAGATTCTAAATAAAGTGCCTACGCATCCAGTGTCATCGTAGATTCAAAATTAAACTGATCATGATACTACTACCAAAGAAATAAATTTGTAGTTTCCACCGTCCTGAAAAAATTTGAATTAAAAATACCGTTGACAACGAAACTAAAAACTGATATTAAAACAAATTCTCGGTTCTCGCAAATATTCGTTCTGAAATGATCCTGACCTTACATTTCTAAGATAACACGCTTTTTTTCTACCTTAATGGAAATCATTGGGTAAATATGTTCACATTCCGTCAACAGTCTCGACATCTGAATTTTAAATTTAGTTTGTTATGTTAATTAATGCGGAAACGTTCATAAAAGCGGTTTTGTCAGGTGTATGGTGAATACGCCTAATAGAGCAAATGCAGGACCGGTTTTGATATTTTTCCCCACTGGTAAAACAGAACGTCACCAGCCCACGTATCTGCTTTAAGCTTCAACTTTAAAATGCGTATTTATTTTTAGGATATGACTTGCAGAAATTTTTTGAAGTAGGTAATTATTCAATCCTGTCCAAAAGCATTACATTAGTTTTAAATAAATTTAGTTTAAATAAATTCAGTGTTACTAGTAAATAAATATTAAAAGAATCAAAATCTATGAATGGTGCATTTTAGATAATTTGTAGAAGTTTATTAAGTTTAAACAAATCAAATGTAAACCAGTAACTTCTGATAACTAGTCGGTGACAGATTTAAGGTTAATAGGTCTCTGTTTTCTCTACGCCGCCGTCGTCAGTTTTTTTATCTTTATTTCAAATTTTAGTGCAAAATCTTAACCGATAGCAAATAGTCTATAACAGCGCACCTGTGACAAAAACGGTTTGCAAACTATCAGGAATTTGCTGCAGAAACAATGCTGTAATCTGCATACCAAAGCGTCCGATAATAAATTATTTATTCACAACAACACAGTTATTCGTATTTCATGACAATATTTTAATTCTAAGTATGAACTTATGATATGTGCATGCACCTAACGCACCTATTTCGAACTGTTGATGTTATATTACAATTTTTTGCTATATGCCCGAGGGATATTCTAAAACGTTGCATTTCAGTATATTTTAATTATTATATTAAATTTAATTTATTATAAATACAATTGTAGTGTGCTTTGAATTGTTTTGTGATACTGTCATAAAAGAAGATTCGCTAGCAGGATTGAATGAAAATGTTATTAATGTCATACTTAATATATTTACATAAAGATGAACATGTGAATGTGTTGACTATTAATTACTATGACTATACTCTTGAAAAAAAAACATAATACCGCAGATACTTTGATATCAGTCACCTGTAGTTTAAACATATGTGACACTATTAATTTAAACTATACTTTTTATTCAATTTTTCAAAGATAATCCACAAATTATACTTCTGTATTATGAAATGATGTTAAATAAATTTATCCATATTTATAGAAGAAAGTCATAATCTCATTGTCAGTCTTAATTTTGATGACCATATTTCTCAAGTGTGTATGTTTGTAAAAAATGAAGTAGTGACCTCTATATAAACCATTCTAGTAAAACAACCTTGCCTTAAAATTGTTAATAGTGCTAGACTAGCCATTATACGGTAAAACTACCGTATGTGAGAATTTTTATAAAAGTAAGAAAGTTTGTTGACATTCTTTGTAGTTTCTAAGGTTAAGGATTTCGGTTAACCGAGAAAAAGTGGAGCACTTAATTTCTGAGACCTCACCTTTACCAAATACTTAACAATAAACATATTTTTGCCACGCTCTGTTGTTTTGCTGTGAAAATTTATTGTAAGTTATTCAACAGAAGTTTTCCTATATAAAATGTGCCTACCCTTCCTATAAAGTGTGTTTGGATGTGATCCGAGTTTACGGAAATATGGCAAACTCTTATAAAATATTTTTAAATATACGTACATATTTATAAAAGAATTGTAATTTTCGGCCATAATTTATTTTAGATCTTACAATTAGTGCGTTCCTTTAGTATCATTATGTGTCACATTTTCTTCGAAACTTTTGATCCCTTATGCCATTTTTTTTACAGTTTTTGAGATGAATAAGAATCCTTTGTTTAAATTGTGTTAAAAAAATTTACGAATATTTCAGTTTATGATCTTTTTAGCTCTGATTTCCGCTCTTATGCATCGATTTGCTTGAAATTTGGATAGTAGGTGGGGAATGGTTCAGGAAACAAAATACACCCTATGCCGATATATATTTTTACCCTGGGGGTGGGTTCTACTCCTTTGTAGGGGTTGAAAATAAATTTTGTCAATATAATCTCGGGAATCGATAGAGCAACTAATTTCAAGCAAAAAATGTTTCATACAATTTTTTTTTGATAAACCAATACTTTTTGAGTTGTTTGCGATTGAAAACTCAATTTTTCAAGTGAAAATTTTTTGCTCTTGCGCTCTTGCTTCACTTTTCATTCTATACTGTTGCGCGGAATCTTATAATTATGATTGTTATAGGACCGATACAAGACGCTTGAAATTAGTTAGGAAATGTTGCTAACGTCATTATTATTAGTTAATAGTAGTAGTTTCTCTGCCAGTTAAACTACACTAAAAAAACTGAAAATTTCGTTTGAGAGATGTATATCAAAGTGATACTGTATAGTGTGTAATACTTGAATATAACTTCAATTCAGGACATGTGCGTAGCTAGGGGGGCAGGGGTGTGTACGGCCCACCCCTGAAAGCCCGGTACCGACCTCAGAAAAAAAAATATTTTTTTTCATATCCGTAAGTCGCTGACTGCGCCATTTTTTTTATAACCAAGCAAAATAGTGTTTAGGTTTTGAAATATTGTATCGGTAAGTCATTGATTACATTTTCTTTTTAGAAGGTCCCATGGAATGCCCTGGGTCTACCTCAAGCAAAAATCCTAGCAACGCCTATGATTCAGGATTACAGTAATATTGATAGTTTAAACTTAAACTGTAAAAATTAATTCCTTCCAAACAATTCGTTCCAAATTTTGATTTTTGTTGGATGATTATTCTTAAAACTGCATTGTTTGGAACTATAATTTTATACTATTCAACTAATCAGCGACCGCATTATCTCCAGCATTGACGTAACGGTTTGTTATCGTTCATTGTAAACGAATTGGTGACACCAAGATTTAGGGAATTATCGTTACCAGCCCAATCGTGCAATGTGCGGGTGCCTAAGCTCGGCGATCGCGTGGCTTTTAAACATTTATAAAAAATGGAAATTGTCATGTTTAACTTTTAGGGAAATTTGAGATTGAGATTGAGATTTGAGAAGTTTACATACATAACATTTTTCGAAACGTAAATTGTGTTGTGAGTGGTTACTGTTCGTAAAAAATTATATACTAAATCCTTAAAATCATCCCCTGATCTTTTGGTGCAAAAAATTATTTATTATTAAATAATTATTATAATATTACACCAGTAAATACAAATATCTGGAATTTCCAATGAAAATTTTATACTTTATTTTCAATTTGCGTGTAAATGTTACTTTATTATAATAGACTTCTTTATGTATCTCTGTTTAGTAAAGGAATCTGGCAATACTGAAGGAATTGATAATAAAAATGATAAAGCAGTGATCTTTCGCATATTGCCACTGCAATAGACAAAATATATTATTATTATTATTATTACGAAGCTATTTGACTTCTTTTAGGGTTCAAATGTGGTTAAACTGATAAAAGAATAATTATGTATGTAACATTTTTCAACTTATTTTCATTTTGTGACGTAGTTAAAATGTTGGGAGACATCCCATTAAAAAGAACATATCTATACATGAAAATATGGGAACATACCGATAATGTTTCCACTTTTGGCCTTCGGTGGCGGATCAGCGGCAAATCTCGTTTTTTGCATATGCTTTTTCTCAATGGGCATGGGAGGAGGACTAGGTGGTGAATAATCTGGAGGGGGTTCCTCCATACGTTCCATTCTTTCAATTCTCTGATCCCTGTCATCCAGTCTTCCGCTTCTGTAACCATTTTCGTATCTGTAAAATAAATAAAATATAATAAAATAATATAAAATGTAAGAATTGAACAGTGCAAATTAGGTCCAAAATGTGCTAAACAGTTTAATAATAATCAATTTGATGACATTAAACTGGTTGTCACTATCCATTAAATTGAGGTGATTGGAAGTCTACATATAATGCAACTGAACCATGGGGGCCTGATATGTTTTACGGATAGCTCAAAAGCAGAAAGTAGCTTTTGATGTAGTTAGATTGAGAGCGAGATGGTAAAGAAGCTATAGTTTGGATATGCCTAAAAACGTACAACAAGAAATTTTTGCAGTAAGTAGGTATGTTTTTGACAGAGAAACTACGAAGGAAGTATATTGTGGTCTCATCAATATACTCTCCGATAATGAGACTTCAATAAATGTCTTGGATCCAAAGTGTGCCTTCAAAACTTGTTCAGAACTGTTTACAATTGTCAAATGAAGCAGCAAACGCTCAAATGTCAGGTTATATTGGATGCCAGTACATAAAAGTATTAAAGGAAGATGAATAGCGAATGAACTTGCAGCTTTCCTAAGACCTGATCCATATAATGCCTTTAAGATGCTTTATAGAGAGGTGGGAAGAATAGCGCAAATACTGGGTCTCAAGACCAGGACAGAGTCATGTGAAGGTAATGTTGACTGTTTCAATGCAGGAGAGGATTAAGTTAATAGAGAAACCAATCCCTCGGGGTTGCAACTCGGAAGAAGAGTGCCACAGCGTTGCAGTCCTTATCTGTAGAATACCTGTATTTCACTCTGACTCAATGCAAAAATTATATTTGTTTAGCCAAATGAAAGACAACTACAAATATTGACTTCAAAATAAAAAGGGTTTTTGTCTCTCCCGAAAAATTTCACTTATTCATTACCAAATTTTCAAACAGCGAAATATGCAATAGTACAATATATTAATAAATAGTAGTACAAAGGATATCAACAAAGGTCGAACAGGTACTTTGGTTTAAATCAAATCAAGTATACAAAAGTGAAACTACATAAACAAACGTAAAAAAAGAAGATACATCATGGTAAATTAATGTTACGGCTGGCATAAAGACAAGGAGTCTATACATATTGAGTTTATTTAGATTTAGCAATGATATACATAATTCACAAATTTCAAATTCAAAGGTAAAATGAAAAGAACAAAATATAAATCCAAACTATATAGTACGTAAACATAATTTATTAAAGAACTGCAAGAAATATTTTCTACCAAAAAATAAGAATCACTTTGGTACTTGGAAATTTAATGAGGCTATAAATATGAATTTGCAACAACTAAAATATTTGGGTATAAACATTCAGATACAGCTAAACAGAGAAAAGGAAACAGTAATTGGAAAGTGCCATATTGACATTTTCCTCTTGTGTCGATTCTACAGAGTGAACTGGGAGCTTTTTTACTTGTTTCAGAACTAACGAGTGTAAATAAATTGGACACGTTTACCAAGTTCATCTTAATCAGAGATGTTTATACTCAAGACATTTTATTATGTTTTATCGTAGTCAAAATAATGAAAACGGATGAGATGTAGACAGTGATTCTAAATAAACTGAGTTAAAATTATTTTCATTTTCCCTATTTTTTTTTTTAATTCTAAAGCATATATAGGAATCAATTAATCTTATTAAATTTTGTCCTCACCAAGATTTTAATCAGAAGGATGCTAAATGAAACATTTCTTTTATAAAACCATCAAATATGAAGACTATATTATTACAAAATTTATGTGTATTTTCAAGGCATTCCACCATCGATAGTGTTTTCAAGTTTGTATGAAGGTAGAACGATTTTCTCCAAATAATTGTAGATACTTACTTTATTTCAAATAAAGCACTACCTCGAGAGCCAATAGCATTACCTCGAGACCAGTGTGTCCTTTCAATGTCAGCTAGTATTATATGAACTTTATTAGGAAATGTTTGACGAATAATTTGAAATTTTGAGTTGTAACGTTATTCTTGACTTATTTTTTTTATATTGCTATATTTGACTTTTGTAATCACAATGTATATACTGATAATTTTTTATAAACTACTATATAAATGTAGTAGCTTCTGATCAAAGTTGAAATAATAATGTAAGAATTCGAGGATTGTTTTAGAAAAGTAATTATTCGACAAATCAAGTAAACTTGTTTTCCAAATAAAGTTTACTCGAAAATGTAAGTATAGAACCTTCATAAATGTTTACAAGCCCCGTGACCGCTTAGGCAACCCAACATTGCACGACTGGTACTGGTTACGAAAAATCCCTAAATTTTGGTGTCACCAATATTAATGATTCGTTTACAATGAACAGTAACGAACCGTTACGCCTATACTCGAGACATTGCGATCGCTGATTAGTTGAATAAAATCTCGTGAAAAATTGCACCAATCTCAGCCGGAGAAACATAATGTTGTGTTTTAGTGTAATCTTGAAATTATTGTTTTAATAGTTTATAATTTTACCGAAATGAAGGAAATAAAATTACTGTTCCAAACAAAATGACTGGTCACGTGGCTTGTAATCATTCATGAAGGTTCTGTATCTAGAGTTAATAGGTTTTAACACATGTCAAAATAGTGAGCATTCGGAAATGGATTGGAAGAAGATAATAGCAGACCATAAATGAACGAAATAGAACATTTATATTCTAGAAACATAATAAAACAAATAAGTATAAACAAAGTATCCTAGGGTGACTTTCAACAGTGGGATATAATGGTTTCCATCACTATGTTATTATCCTTACCGACTTCTTTCTTCGACGACCCTTTGTCGTTGTCGTTCCAAGGTCTTCTTCCTTTGTGGAGGCGTTGGGGTAATGTTGATCACCTCCCTCTTAGGAGATATGCGTGAAGGGCGGGTGTAATCTGGACTTGGAGAGTAGTGCGGTCTATAGTCCGGGGATGGAGAATGGGAGGGACGATAATCCGGAATCGGAGATCGGCGTGGATATTCTCTCTCGTACGAGGGGCTACTACGATATGGCAGTGGAGATTGGCGATCGGATATATAGTGCTGTTCCTGCCTTCGTTCAGACCATTCACTTACTCCTGCAACAATAAGAGAAATATGAGTTTACTTGTAAAAGTTACACATGAATAAATGGATAAATATTAGTCTGTTTTGAATCTATTTGAGTATAAGTAACAGTGACATAAGTCCGAAAAGTGTATTCAAGCAACTACTAAGTTCTATTAACACTTCATCATGTATTATAAAAAATAGAGAGAATCAAACAGACTGTGTTTAAGAACATTTTAAATAGTTGGTATCAAGATTTTATTTTTGATAAGATTCTTATAAGTAGTCTTAATATTTTGCATTAAGTGAATGCTATTTCAATAAGCTGAGTTTCAAAATTCTTAACTCCCGAATAAAAACTGGTCAGGTAATAAATTTGTCAAAACAATTTGAAATTTTTAAGTGCAGATACGAACTTTTTCTCTATGATGGTGACTCGGCGATAAGACTCGGTTCCATCACTCGGATTGAGAAACAAATTTAAAGTCCATGCAATACCTGTATGTCGGGTTTTCCCTTCCAAAAAGCATGAACACAGTCTTCATCTGAGTAGCTACCATCTTTTAAGACCACGGAGGAATCATTCTAACTGATTACATGCCCGAAGGAATGTAAAATAACAAAAATTACTTGCTGTAATGCGACATTTCACTGGCAACCAACTGATAAAGAATATTGATGCTTATGTTGAAGGCCATCAGGAATAATTTTTTTTTTATGAAATGGTTATGTTAAAAAATTAAAACTATGAAAAAAATCTTTTGTTTCTTCATTGCCATAAAAAAGTTTCGGTTGAATAATTTCCGAGTTGGTTGCCATGTTGTAAGTATAGACTTCTTGACATTTTGAGAGACATACCACTCTCCTTTTCAGAAGAAACTTTGAAATTCTTCCGAAGAGAGCAATTTGTCTCCCCAAACGCCAAAAAAATTAAACCGATGATATGGCAAATAACTCGGATATTGTTCAACCACTGATAACTACCAATGAACCTGCAAACTAAACTAAGGAAATGCTCTTGGTACATAGCAAACATAATTAGCATAGGGCTTCGTGTAACTCTAGCAAACTTTTGATAGATTTGAGCACACATAGATGCAATCGAATTTAATAAAAACTGTGACAAAGTATTTATCTCTGTATGACGAAGACAAAACGCTTATAAAATAAATATTAACAAAATACCCAAAATCTTGACTAATTGCACATACACATTTGCTTCTTTTAATAGTTTTACTATATTTTTTATAAAATTTTTGTTGTATGATATAGAAACAATATTAGACATGGAGAATCCGAATTTTCTAGTTTGATTGTGGTTAATATTTTTTCTCTACCAATTTGTACCGCATTTGTTTAGTGTAACACTTGTTCAATAATTTAAAGGATTTATATTGGAAATGGAACCATGCATATTCCCATAACCTGATTAACTAAATAATGCATATGTTAATTAAAATTATATGTGCAAAAGTTACAAACAGGTGAATCTTACAATGGAAGAACCGCTTTAGATGACTGATTAAAACATAGATCCCCCTAAAAAGCAGGACGTTTTTATACCTAGTCAGAAGCTCCAAGTTAATCTACAATTAATTGTAATGCACCAACCTTTTAGAGAAAAGTGAAAAAATTTTGATGTAGGTATATGGTCGTTGCAATTCTACATTCAAGCGTTCACTAAAGGCCCATTCAGAATGAGAACGACAGAAATCGCGTCGCATTACATAGGCAATACGTCGAGCGACACGTCGTTCGGCGCAGCATCGTTCAAAGTAAGCATTTGAAATACATTTAATTTCAATTTGGACACGATAATTTTGGAGAATTTCACCGTTTACATTTTATTATAACTTCATAACTGCAGGTTATTGTTAGTTATAACTTTACTCTTTGAACTATTCCATAGAGCATGTCTTGTTCGTTTTTCAGGAGCATTATCATCCTTCGCGTGCACATCAAAATCAAAACCTGACAATTCTCTCTAAATTAAACGAATTTGGTTTCTGTAACATAAAATTACTCGTCACTTAAAAATTAAAATAATGCGCTTATTTATCTGGCTGACGCTCTGTGAATATGTTATGGTTGTCTTGAAAGCGAAAAACTAAACGTAGAAAAAGTTGTAGATATCAAAATCGCTCGAAACGCTTTAATCGCCTTCCGTAGGGCCGTAGCCATAGGGCGTTTTCACATATACCGACACCGACACCGGCACGACATCAGCACAGCACCGATACCGACACAAAATCAGCGACGACGCGAGTGGAGTAGCCTGTCACGACACGATACCGATATGTCGGCGAGTCTGAAAACATGACCATTTATTTATATGAGATTACGCATCCACCGGCATCGTTGTCGTTGTGGTACCAGTGTCGTATCGGCCAGTGTGAAAACGGCCTAATTGCTGCGGAAACTGACGCTTCGCAACGTTGTAATTGCATGGATACAAAACTCAGCGCTCACTGATCGCTTCCTACTCGCTCACTGATCATTGTTTGTCAACGATATAGTTTTGGTACTAATAAGTGTCATTCACGTATCAGCATTCATATTTTTTGATCAGTACCTAAACATTGAAGACATAAAGACCAAAAAACATCTGAATTTTACAAAAATAAAGACAGGTAGTAATAGCATCATAGGAAAAATTAAGTTAAACAGTAAATAACGATCAACGAACATGATAATCAAAAGTCTCATTCAACAGGTCATTGATCAGTAGAACGTGGACTTTTGGTGAATAAAAAGAGACAGTTGGCACCATAAGCGGGTGAAATACCTACTAATGTTTTCCATCCATTCCTGTTTAGCGAAGTTGATTTAAGATTTACTAAGAAACTAATAGTAATCAATATATCATAGTATCATAGCCTGGCACAGAGCATTGGCCAGTAGCGTCCGTATTGGTGCACCCCACATAGCATTCAGAGACAATATACTCATCTTCATTATTAGATCACCGTTATAAATAGGTATTTAAGAAAACATAATAAATGTTTTGTATTGCTTATTAGTATTAAAAATACTAAACTCGATTTTGCTGTATGAGACTCTGTTCCAAGGCCTAGTATGAAATGAGGATCAGTGCGCCGTTGTGACCACACGCATTTAGTATGTGCGATGAGTAGTTATGATTACGTAGAAGAGTGCGTGACGCACAACTCGCAGTTGGCTGTGCGCCACTCACGTTCCATTAAACCAAATCAATGTTTATGGGAATGGTTTGTTAGGTTCTGCTTCATATGTGCGCATTGTCGACCATCAGCACTGTGCTTAGTTGAACTCACGGCGTGTAGAAGCTCCATAAATATATAATTTTATTAACTCGAAGATGCCTAAAGGCATCAAATCGAAATTATTCCCGAGCCTTGTGTTCGTTTCCAAACAATCATCTCTTCACCATTATTTTACATGCTCCCTTTGTATCTTGGTTGGACAAAAAATTATTTATAATTTTATTTTTCCGACTGTTACAGTTATTTTTTGCATCATCTCGAAAACTGACGTACATCTACCTCGTGCCTCGCCTAAACCGTAACTTTAGTAGCAAGTATAAATGCATTAATAATTATCGAAATACGTCTTATTTGTCTGGACGTGTTCGCTAAAGGCAATCATTAGAATACTAATTAGATCGTTTTTTTTTCTACGGTATGTTTGTCGCTCAAATTATGAATGGACCTTTACAGACGTCAAGTAGTATACCTTTATAGTAACCACCGCTGTGGTGGTTGCGGTCTCTCTCCGGCTCAACAGGACTATACACCCTAGGGGTATTGTTAATGGTAGACACAAAAGTGCTTTTTGGGGGGACGGGCTCAGTTCTGGTTGGTTGGGATTTAATGGTTACATTGAAAAAACTGGTTTTCGGAGGTTGTTCCTCCTCGTCGATCGTGGAGTTATTCGAAGACCGCGAGTCGCTGCCGAAATGGTGTTCCAGCCACTTGGAGGTCTCCACTTTCCTCGTCTCCTCTTCCTGATCGAAGTCTAACGGCCGTCGCGTTAGGGCGTCCTTTCTGTCTAGAGGCGAGGGAGTGACACCGCCGTTTTCCAGACCTAGAAAGAAGGATGGTGGTTAGTACACTTAGGATCGTTTTATTACACCAGGATGTAGAGGTTTAATAGTGTTTAGTAAAACAATGTTAGACACAGAAACGTGCAGTTTTGGATGGGATAGAGGATTGCATCCTTTGGTTGCGGTTTGCAGCTATGTATACATTTTAACGGCAATTAATACTATTATTTAATTATAATAGAGTAACCTTTCAGATTTCGCGTACGAAGTTATGTCCAAAATATCGAAATTTCTCCATATCTCAAAGTGGTTTTCAAAATAGAGTAGTTTTAACACAAATTTCTTTAAAATCGTTCTTCCTTGAATTTAGAAGTTTGTAGGGGCACTTTTTAAAGCTGGGCATTTATATCTATGACAAGAAATTGAAAATGACTTAGTTCTTAAAAATGCGTCAGTTTTATATTAGCAAGTAACCTCTCGTATTGGGTCTATTGCGTACTACGGTTGAGAAGCTATGAAACGTTTCATGGTTTATACATGTAACAATATTTATCAAAAATATTCAATCAATGGCTCAAGAAATTGGTTGAAATGATTATATTTATAAACTTTTAGAATTAAAAACGATCATGATAGATCACTATTCATAATTATAATTCATACCACACCAATTCAACTGCAATAAAAAACACATACCTATACATATGTGAGCTATTTGTTAAATCCTACATATACAGAGTGCTCATGATAAGTTTTGCCAAACTTTAGTGGCGTATTTTACCGATGAAAATAATCAAGTTTTGCTCTTTAAAAATTTCTGATAGGACGCTTCCCTACGGAGATACAGGGTATTAAAAGCTTCAAATATTTATATTAATTTTCCTGTAGTTTCTCTGGCATAAAATATTGAATGATAGGGGAATGCCATTTTTTTTAGAAGGGAATATTTTTTCATGGATATCTTATTCCAAAATATACTCCAGTGGTGTAGTTATTGGGGGAGTGGGAGATCTTTTTTGAACAAAAATCATACGCCACTGGCTTTTTAAACAATTTTAAATGTATTTAAAATATACAATCAATTTGTGGCAATAAAGTATTCTTGTAAAGTATTCGTAAAAATTACTGGTCCTTAGATAATTGGGAAATCAAATAAGAAGAGACTTAAGTAGGTACCTATGCTGCTATTTACCATACGAGTATTCTATTGATTGCTAAATGTGTAACAATAAATTCAATACCTAATATTTTTGAGACATTACTACTTACGAGGCATATCCACAACGTAAGAGTCCTCAATTTTTTCTCTCAAAAATATTGAGCATTGAATGTTACACATTTAGCAATCAATAGAAAATGATAAATAATAATCCTATTTGATTGTATCTAAAGACCAATTAATTTTACAAATACTTTAGAAGTATACTTTATTGCAACAAATTGATTGTACGTTTTAAAAATATTTCAAATTATTTAAAAAAACAGTGGCGTACGATTTTTTTTTCAAAAAGGGGCCCTACTCCTCCAATAACTAGGCCACTGAAGTGTATTTATATATGTATGTATATGTATATTAATAAGTTATCCATGAAAAAATAGTCCCTACTGAAAAATTTTCATCCTCCAAATTTTATCACTAAATATTTTTTGCCAGTGAAATTACAGGAAAAATCAAAATATTTGAAACTATTAGCACCCTGTATCTCCGTAGGAAATGGTCTTATCAAACATTTTTATAGGGCAAAAGTTGATTATTTTCATTGGTAGAATAAGTACGCCATTAAAGTTTGGCAAAACTTATCATTAACACCCTGTATAAATATTTATTTTTATTAAATCGGTTGACAAAATTCTAAAAGTTACTATTATCGAATCAATATGAAATTACTAAAAATCTCTAGAAGTGATCAATTAATTAGAATCAGTTTTATTACTTTTATAGTAATAAATATACAGAATGTCTCCTAGAAAATGGCTCCGCTATGTCTGGTACTATTTTAAAACAAACTTGGTGTCAATTGCTCCAAAAATACTACAAACTCTCATACAAGAGGACCACTTTTCATGGCCTACTTTAATGGTAGGCAATCGTTAAATAAATGTACCTATTTAATTTTTTTCATGTCATTGCGTTCATGGCACATTTGTTAATTTTATTGTAACGCTCAAAGTAATATTTCGTATATTTTTTGTAAATTTTTGGCAAATACTGCTTTATTTGTGGCATAGCATTGTTTTAGCATCTTAAGCCATGAAATTTTGACTTTTGAATTTTGAAAAAACTGAACATGCAGCAAAATTTGTTCCTCATTTGATAACTGAACAACAAAAAGAAAATCATGTGGACTCCTTGAACAATCCAATGACGATGAAACATTCATTATAACGTCATAACTGGAGACGAAAGCTGGATTTATGGCTACAGTTCAATCATAATGAATTTGTAAAGGATCTCCACGACCCAAGAAAGAACATCATTCTCGACAGTGTTTTTTTTTCGACTTTAATGGATTTCGGATGTAAGCGACTTAATTGTGGCGAGAAAACTCATGGTTTTTGCACCATGCCAATGCGTCCGCACACTCAGCTTTGTCAATTCGTCAACTTTATGCCAGAAATTAGATTATTGTCCTCCCTCATCCCCCTTACTCGCCAGACCTGTATCCTTGTGTTTTTTTCTTATTTTCGGAATTAAAATCAGTGCTGAAAAAACGCCGTTTTCAGAACTATTGATGACATCGGTAGTCCAATTAAATTGGCCTTTCAATCGCAATTTTGGTCAACTGGCCTGAATTTTTGATATAAGTTAGTTTGAGGTATAGGTATAATAACAATAAGTGACAGTAATTATTTTTCAACCCCCGGCCCGGTGTGAAAAAAAGATAAAATAAAGGGTTTTTTCTCAAAACTCAAAAGGATTAAGAGCTAGAAAAAAAAGTTTAAAAGTATAAATGGTGTAGAGCAATAAAATTCTATATAAAAATGGTCTATTGACTTTTTCTTGTACTATTAAAATTAACAGAGTTAGGGAGAGTAGAAGTTAAGGGATGATTTCAGAAATTTAAAAAAATCAACAAGCATAAAAATGAATTTCAAAATTTTTTTTTCAATCTATTCTAAAAAATGTAAACAATCTTTTCAGAGAAATAGACATATTTTTTAATTTTTAATAAAAAAATTTCATAAAGAAGACGTGATTTTCGCTATGAACTGATGCTGCTGCAAGGATTGTCTCCTCATGTGGGCACTCCTCAACGATTAGTAACAGAGGCGTTACTTGAAAGGGATAGATTGAGAAATATTTCCAACTAACAAAGTGTAACTTTCTTAACTTACCCCTTAAAATAAAAATTCCAATTAGGAATAAACCTCGCGACAAGCTTTTAAGTCGTATAAGATCATGAACATACTGATTATAGATAGTACGTGTCTATTTATCATATTTCTGCTGATGACACTTCTAGATAGCAGCCATATTCAATCCTTTTGTGGGTTTGGGGTTTACACAACATATGGGTTTTATGAATTCCTTGGTTTATTTTTTTCTTTTTAGTGCATTTTTTAGCTTGTTTTTAAAATATTGTTTCTTACTTTTCATATATTATTAAAGGGTAATTGTAAATATCAAAGCATTTATGGCCTTTAAGTGTAAGACTATTGTCTTAGATTCACAAAAGAGAATGTAACTTTTACCCGAAAACTTCACAAGCACAACCTTTTTAGATTTACAAAGATTTACCTCAGCATCCAAGTTCTAAAAAACAAAACATTGTTTTCTCTTCGCATTATTCAAAAGGTCAAGTAATGAACATGAAGATGGATTCGGATATCTTTAACCTATTGTGAATTGTGTAAGCCGATGCAAATAAAATACGCAAATAGTATTAACATGTTAAGATGGCTGTTCACGAAGCACATAATTGCCATATTACGTGATGCGTTATGCAAGCGCGCTAACCAACTTAACCATCGCTCGAATTCAGTTTATTATTCTCGTTTTGGAGTAAAACACCAATTCTATTTTCCATTAGTGACAATTTATATGCGTCTTGGTGGATTTATTGCAAATACTTTCTAATGTACCCTGCACTTAACCCGATTTAACCCTACTGCACCTGCAAATTTTTCACAGACTAGCCTTCTCCGAAGTTTCTAATACCCTTGACAATTAATTTTGATTATATCACTGCATGTGAATGGTTATTATGGGTAATATATTCTAACAAATAGACACATTTTGTAGGTAAGTGTACGAACACGTGTTTTATTATGCGGTAACTCGCAAAAATTCAAAAAATGATCCCTTAGTAACAAACGTTATCACAGAAAAGCGGAAAAACGAATTGGCTGTAAAATATTTTACTTCCCAGTATTATCCACCAACAAAGTGGGTATTATCCATCAAACTAAAAATTATTATTAAAATTTTCATATAATTTTGAATTAGTTAAGTTAATGCCATAAACATTATAGACCTCTCGATATGTAAATATTAGAATAGGCGAACACAAGAATTACATTAAAAAGCTAGAATTTAAAAATTGAAAGTTTACTATCATATCTGAAAAAATGGTCACATAATTATTATTCAATGGGGTTCGGAAAACTTTTGGAGAAAGAAAATAATACTGTTCGAAAAAATTAAAAAAAAACGCCATTTCATTTATTAAATAGTGAACGAAGTGTGTCAAATTATCTGTGAACTTAGATCCTCGTTGGCTACAAATATTAAAAAAAAAAAAGAAGAAAGTAAGAACTTAATAACAGAATATACAGGATGATTCTATTTATCCATTCCTAAATACTATATTTACGCAGGATCCTCTGATACTCCCCCATTATTTTTGCAATAATTTTAACATGGAATACATATATTTGTTTAATTAATTAACAAAGCAAAACTGTAACTTGTTTTGCTTTGTTTAATTTGATTAATTAAAAATATATGGTATGTATGGGTTGCATTTATTTTTTTTGTAAGATAGGTCCGAGTAGGTCAATATTTTGAAAAATACCTTTTATTATTGAGCATACAAAGTAA